TGTGCATAACTGGTTGGCTCATCATGAGAATCGATGGCCGCTAAGAAAGCTTTATGAGTTGGACTAAACTTACTATAACAAATGTAGTGTGTTAGGAAATGGGCCTTACCTGCAACCGCTTTTCGGACTGAGTTCACATTGGATGGTGGTAACAATGCGTCACACACATAGTCTCTTAAATACCCTGGCAGTTTTCTTTCTCGTTGAGGTCGCTCTTGTCGCAAAACAGATTGCTCATTTTCATTTCTTTGTGGTGTGCTCACTGCAGCTTGGTCAAACGCACTTGTTCCTTGACGTTCTTCCGAATTTGCTTCCTCGTCAGTTGTGTGGACGCCTTCCTCATTTGTGCCCATATGCTGGTTGCCATTACCTCCAACAAGACTCCTTTTATCCCTAAACGGCTCGTTTTCATCTTCCACAATCACATGCTCCCTCTCACTTGGAAGTCGTTCTCCTCGAAGTGCCTCATTATTGCTAAAAGGAAAGACTTCTTCATAAAAGTGTACATCTTGAGATGTAAAGATATCTCCTTTCTCCAAATTATACATTTTCCATCATTTCTTTCCATACGGGAATCCAACGAAAATACACTTCTCGGCACGCTCTCCAAACTTATCCTTTCCAATGCCTTGCCTTTTGGCATACGCAAGGCACCCAAAAACTTTAATGTGAGAATAATTGGGTGTTTTTCTAAACAACATTTCAAATGGTGTGCGGCCTCCTAATACGCTGCTTGGAGTGTAGTTAATTAGATGAGCTGCTTCCATAATACACTCTCCCCAAAATTTCAAAGGTAGATTGGCCTGGAAACGTAAAGCTTTTGCCACATTGAGGATGTGTTGGTGCTTCCTTTCTACTCTCCCATTTTGTTGCGGTGTCTCAACACAAGAGGTTTGATGAATGATTCCCTGGCTGAGAAAAAATTCATTGAGAGTCCCAAAAAATTCTGTTCCATTGTCACTACGAACCATCTTGATATCAACCCCAAATTGTCTCCTAACAATAACACAAAAGGACATGAAGACCTTTTGAGTTTCTGATTTATCATGCAAAAGATACACCCACGTAGTACGTGTAAAATCATCCACGATGGTTAAGAAATAATGGGCTCCTGAGAGAGATGGAGTATGATACCGACCCCATAGGTCGCAATGTACTAATTCAAATGCACGTGAAGCTTTATTGTCGCTTAAAGGAAATGAAATTCGTGTCTGCTTCGCACGATGACATATATCACAATACTCATCATAATTATTATTACGGTTGAAACCACACCCGATAAATAGGATAAATTTTTGTTAGAAAGATGTCCTAGACGTTTGTGCCACAGCTCCTCTGTATTCTTCTTGGAGGCCATTGCATGAGCACTATGTGTGTTTCGCAAATAGTATAGGCCATCCTTGAGATCACCCAGTCCAATCAGCATCCGCCGGGTGGGGTCCTGTATTACACAAACATTCAAATAGTAAGTAATAACACAACCCATATCTTCACTTAACTTTCTTGAAGATATCCAATTACATTTAAAATCCAAAACATAAAGAACATCTTTCAATTTGATATGCCTGTCAATCATGATGTCTCATATTTTATTTACTTTCAAAGAATCTGCATTCGGGATGACGACTCTTTCATCCCTTCTAGCCTCTCGAATATTCTCAGTCTTTAAGATTACCAGAAACGTGGTGTGACGCACCACTATCAATAATCTAATTCGATAAGCGAACCAAGGAAAATTTCTTACCAGACAGTGCATCATGGATCATGTTTTTTGAATCACCTGTACCCAATAGAGACATTAACCGATCAAGTTGAGCTTGTGTGAGGGACGTCATCTGTACAGTGTTGCTTGACGCTCCCATTTCTTCAGTGACGACACCTGCTCGGCCTTGGATGGCATTGGCCGTTGCTCCTTTGCCTCTGCGATTTCCATTGCCTCATCCTCGACCACGGCCTCCTTTACCTCCGCTTCAGTTCTTCCAGTGTTCCGGGTACCCAATGATTTCAAAACAATGGGATTTGTCATGTCTGGGTCTCTTGCAGTGAGCACAAACTACGGGTAGATCAGTAGAGTCTCGTCCTTCTCTCCTTTGATCTAACTTTCCTTGGCTTGCGAAGGCAGCAATTTGTATCCTTGGATCTTCGTGCTGCCCCACTTTCAATTGCAATTCTTCTCTTGATATCATGGCAAAATAGCGAGTGAGTGAAGGCAGTGGGTCCATGCTTATAATGTTTGATCTGACAGTACCATATCAATCATCGAGGCCCATCAAAAATTTATAGACTTTTTCATTCTCCCTTTCTTCCAGTATATTGATCAACGTTTTACACGTCGATCCGCACACACGTGTCGGTTTTAGTATACTGGTCTAGCTGATCCCATATTCCTTTTAGTTTAGCATAGTAATCTGTGACACTTAGTGACCCTTGCCTGAATTCATTTCATTCCCCAATTGATATATTTGGGGACCATGTCCTTGATGATATCTCTGTTGGAGTTCAGTCCACAACTCTCTAGCATCATCAAAGGAAATTATAGTGTTTTGTATGCTTTTGTCAACACAATTAAAGATCCATGAAATAATCATAGCATTGCATTTATCCCAAGTATTCTTATCAATGTCATCAACCTTAGCTCTCTCTAGAGTACCATCAATGAAACTCAATTTGTTTTTAGATTTTAGAGCTCTTTGAAAGGCCTTTTCCCAAATATGATAGTTTTCTCCATTAAGAATGATTTGGCTTAGAAGCATACCTGGACTGTCAGAGGAGCTCAGATAATACATAGACGTGGGATCACTGATCGATGGGATCTTGAAAGAGGTGGATGAGTTGTTGCCAGTCATTGCTTCAAACATGAGGTTACTCAAAATACCGCTGGGTGGAATGAGTGGTTCGGCACACACCAAACCTCACTGTTACGAGTCACACAACTCCTCTTCTTTGATGGGCACACGCCCTCTGAACGGATCAGTGGTGAAACTCACCATGGCTTTGATACCATGATAACACCATGAAGAAGATAATAACCGAAACAGAATTCAGAGCAGAAAAAGAAATCTGATAAAACTATAAAGAAAGAGACAACCGAAATTGCAGAACTCAAAGAAAGAGAAGAACTTCAATAGGAGAATATTATTTTCATGAACTTATGTCTTAGAGGGACGATGACTACAACATATATACAAGTTACAGAACGGAAAAGAAAGTAAGTCTCTAATGATCCCCTCTATAATTTAGCACTTCTAATTATAGAAAATATTATACACCTTGAGGATATTATACACCTTCCTATTATTATACTTCCTTATTAGATATTAGATAGATATCATCACTGGATGTTGTAGTCTTCTCAAATACTTGGTTTTAATTTGTCGAGGCTGATTTTAGCTTTTTGAAGAATTGCAGAGCTGGTTTTGGTGTGTTGCTTTTTGATAAGGAAAATAGTTTTTCAGTGTCAGACAAGTCTAGATCTGCATTGTTTGCTGAATCTTAATGCGGTGTTATTAGGGGTTCGTACGTTTTGCTCAGGACTGTTAGTTCCAGCATATCGTCATCCGTTCAGATTTTCTGCAGTTAATCCAGTGCTTTGTTTCTTTCGATCCAAGAATTCCGAGCTTAGCGACCTCCGATTTCTGTTTGAAGACATTTCTGCTATTTTAAAGTCTTTCGTATCTGTTTCTTGGATGTTAATTTCTCGAGAACAGAACCCAGTTCCTCACTATCTTATTAGCTCCATTTGCCCTGACGGCCTGGGTGGTTTTTCCCTCTCCTTGGATTCTTGAACTTCTGAGGCGAGGGGTTGTTAGTTGTGATAACTCTGGTCCATTTGGTTCACAGTGATTGGAATTGGAATTGAAATCCCTTGAAATGGGAATCAAAATGGTCTATTCCCAGTTTGGCTCAGAAATCGGAATGAGAGTTGGAATAAGTTAAAATGCGATTTCATTTCCAGGGGAGGAGGGGGAGGGAAGGGAATGGCCATTCCCTCAAATGGGGAAATACCATTTTCACAAGGAATGAAAATGGATTTCCCATTTCACCTAACCAAATAATTGGAATTGGAATGGTCCATTCCTATTCTGCATCCAGACCCATATTCCCGCAAACCAAACGGGCGTTAGTTGTATCTGGTTCTGTTTCATCCGTTGATCAATGAATTTCGTTTTACCGATAAAAAAAAAAAAACAGAAAAAGGTTAACGAACTTCTTTGCTTCTTGTTTACAGAGACAATGCAAATAGAGTGAGATATCCAAAGATCCGTATAGCTTCCCAAATAGATTAAGGTATCCCAAGAGTTCCCAAAAGCTTCTTAATGTTTACGGAGTAAAAATGAATTACTTTAAAATGAAACATACAGAGGAACATCCCATGAAACATTGAAACTTACTTTGATCAGCTATGTTTGTTTGTGTCATTTTGGGTTAGCATAAAACATTACAAAATTGCTTTTCTTTCCTCTTTTTTTTTTTTTCACTCTTTTCAAACTTCACTTTAAATCATGCCTTGATTTAGGTGTGGGTCGATCAGTTCTTGGATGCCTCCACCATTTCAAACTTCACTTTAAATTTGTTTCTTTGATTACAATCCAAACGATTGTCAGTAGGTCTAGTACTGGTCCAAGGCTTGGGCCAAGTATTAATCCTTCTTAGAATCTAGCTCTCTCTGCCAGACAAAGTGAGAAGTGATCTCAATCCCCAAATACCCTGATCAGTGGTTCCAGTGCAGGAGATCTTCATTCATATATGGATGCAGTGCCACCACGCAGTGAAATACTACTTAGCTAGGCTACTCCTTTACTTCTGTACATTTTATAATTCTATATCTTTTAGGAAATCAGAGCCTTTAATACTATGGCTCCTATTGTTGATAGAAACCAACTAAAAACCAGACAGAATCAAGAACTACTTTCTACTGTATGCACTGTTCTCTTTTCCATGTAATTGACTAGGAGGAGAACATGATTTAACCTGTTGTAGTTCAGAGAGTAGTTGGGTGATCAACACAGGGAAACTGGCTGTCTCTTTTGAATCTCCAGACCCTTCAAAGCCTCCCCACCACATCTCCTCTTCCAAAGACTAACAACTTCGTTGCTATCCTCGCCGCCGGCGTTTGGCACCCGTTTAATGACTGGCAAAGGAGGATCCAAATCAACCATTTTGATCGAACGGTAGTCCTCCTCATCTACAAACTTGTCTCTACTGCTACCCACGATCATCTGTCTTCTGCTACCTGTAGTACTAATGAGATCCTTGCTAGAGAACATCTTTTGGAGCTTCAAGTACTTCTTTTTGCCATTGTTGTTGTTGTTGTTGCTTCTACTGTGACCTGGGAAACCAACTACTTTGTTGCTTCGCTTGATCTGGCCCATGCACCCAACTCTAGGGGATACGGGTTCCTTGTAGAAGTACTCGTCGCAGGATGAGATTGTGCCACTGTCCTCACATTTCTGGAGCTTCTCGCTGGTGGTTGCCCACGGTCTCAAACACAAAATCGGCATGATTGATCCGAGCTGAAGCTTGTGATGACTTTGCTGATGATGAAACTCTCTACCCATGTGTCCTCTTGATCTTCTTATTGCTCTAAGGCCCTCAGAATGGTAGCCCACAGAGAGAACAGGACTCACAGTGGTCAAATTCAAAGGAGTTGATTGGTTTTGCTTTCAATGGGTTTGTAGTAAACGTTTCCTTTCATATATAGTTGGATTCTTGGGAGGGATAGTATCAGGGTGGACCATTATTTTGGACTCATTATTTTATCTATTGGACAGGCGATAAGTACAAACTAATGAGTCTACACGGACTATGACAAAGACATGTTTGAATGACAACATGCATGGATTAAGCATGGTTACGTCAAGGTAGAGAAAGACCAAGTTATACCATTGATCATTCATCACACGGCTGGTGGTGGTGGTGGTGATGATTCAATAATAGGATCAGCGCTAGCTAGGCCGACATACTGCATAAAACCTTGTTCAACTTTATCTAATAAAGCATGTGAGGAACACAAAGGGATTGGTGAAATGGTGAGTTGATTAATTCATTGTATATTTGTCGGTGACTGATTTCTTTGAASTAAGCTTGTGCCAAATTAATTAACTATTGAAATTTGAAAATAGAGATTTGTCTCTTTGAACTAAGCTTGTACCACTTTTTGTATTTGAAAAGCACGAGAAATTTAATACTGTATTTGTTGTCTGTCTGCTGAGGTCTAGAGAGGCTGGACATGGCAAAGGAAGCAGACCCAGATCCAAGAAATTCACCCAAACAATTGAATAATATTACTAATAACTGTATTAATTAAGATGAGGACTTGTGGTTTCTTTGTGTTTTGCACAGAGTATCTTGAATCCTGTTGAAGGACCAGTCCAATACATGTATTTTCTGTATGGATTTGCTGGTTGGAGCCTAATGGAGTGTCCGGTGGAAGGTCGGCCTTGAAGATAACAACAGAAGAACTTTGTTCAGTCAAGTTGGCCAGAAGAGAACAAAGAGGACATGAGGCTGTAAGCGTGCAGCAATGGCTAGTAGTGGTGTTAGAAACAAATTAATTAAAAGGAATGTGGCTATGTACTATGGTTCAATTGTTTTTAGCACCATTTTTAATTAAGATAATATTACACCGCATGAACTTAGGAATGTTGTTAAATTTGAGGGTCCAGTTGGGATATATAGGAACTCAACTCAATTTGGCCTTATTCACAACCATCTAGGTTCAGGTAGATGAATCCTATACCGCCATTCCATTAATTGTATTCTATCAAGGGTCATGTCTTCTGTCAAATTATAAGTAGAGTCCAGTTTGGATCAGGTTTGGCTCAAATATGCTTTGAGTTTCATTTCAATCCAAGAGGTATTTAGAACCGTGGTGTTGCACCCTGTTGAGATTTTAGAGTCCATGTAAGTGCCATATATATATATATATATGCATAAGAAGTAAACACAAAAAATATATATTTAGTAATCCTTATTCCTTAACATTTTGTGTTTCTAAATAAAATTTTTGAACTATCAAATTATCTTAAATTTCAATGTATAAATCTCATTATATCTCCATCTCTATGCATGCCTATACATATTATAAGGGGTTGTAGTTGAATTTATCATATTGATGAGAACAAGCTTCAACTCCCAAATTAAGAAAATATTTCACCTTTCTGTTGGGCAAAGGGTCGTAGTCAGTCGGTATGTGAAGCTGGGCACTGAATCCAGCTTGGGGTATGGACCCACCGGATTATATGATCTAGCAAAGAAATAGATGGAACCAATTAGGTCATTTGAACTTTCCTTTTGTCCTGCATAAAGCCACAGAAAGCTGGATTGGACAAATTCATCTCTATCATTGCAAACTAATTTCCTTTTTCTTTTGGTAGGAAAAGACCTTTTTCTTTCCTTCTTTATTTCACTTTTCTTTTAGTTTGTAAGGTTTGGATTGGACAAATTCATCTCTATGATTGCAAACTAATTTCTTCTTGGGTCTGTGGATACATGACTCTAGTCCGAGTTCACATCTGTCCCCACAGAATGCTCCCCAAAAACGTCCTACATGCACATCTCAGCCTGGATTGAGAACATCTCCTGTACTTGTCATTGGGAGATGTTTCCAATACACAGTTGGGATGTGTTGTGGGACGTTTTTGGGGCGCATGCACTCTGTGAAGGGAAGATTTGAACTCCTCTAGTCCAAGTTGGATCTGGAGTACAACTCACTTTCTATCTGTCAAAATTGTTTTGGTTGGAACCATTCAATGTTGGTCTCAATTCTTACAACTCTCAACTCTGAAGTTGTACTGTTAAAAAAAAAACTTTGTAAGGTGCCATTTTTTTTTATCCAGTAGCTGGGGAGAATCCTTTATTTAGAAAAAAAAATTCCAAAACTCTCCTTTTAAGGCCTTGCTTATCTAAACCATGAGATCCCTATTTTACATGTGGTTCATAATTCTGAAGAGTCCCCAGTGACCAACAATGGGGCTCATATGGGTCCTGTGTTCTCAGGCCTAAGATGCTCCTGTTGCTATTTTTCAACTTTCACTGAAAGTAATTCAGATGTTTAGTTGCCTTCAGTGGGACAGACCACAGGATTTAATTTGTGATTCAAATCTGAACAACAGAAAAATGTATAATCAAAAGGTCACTTTCATGGTCATACAACACTTCTATTTTCTGTGGCAGCAATAAAACAGCATACAACCAACTAATCTTGGGGTGCTTGGAGCAGTTTATCTGGTAAAAGCAAAGTCGTGTTTGACAAAGAAAACAACATGGAAATAAAATAAAGCAGTTTGAGCCTTTGAGGTATCTGGGTCCGTCTTTATCTGATGATGATGATAAGACACTTGTACAATTCAAATCACGTAGGCTGTTAAAATAAAATATCCCAAAAAGTGTTCGACATGTGGAAATGAGTTGGTAATTGGAAATGGGTTTCTGAGTCGTTTTCCACACCCTTGTTTGTAGGGCTGTTCATAAGAAGGTGTAACCCGACCAAATCGACCAACCCGGACCGACTCAATCCGAGTCGATCGGGTTATCTTTAGCATCGGTCGGTTTCGGGTTGTAAAACATCATAAACCGATGGTTYGGGTCGGTTTCGGTTTTCTTGTGTGAAAATTGAAATCGACCTGAACCAAACTGTCCCTTTATGAAGTTTAAATTAATTAAGCCCCCATAACTAATTGTCCTTCTTCAAATCTATTACATTGGCTAGATTAATGATTGTAATTAATTGTCCTGAAGTCTCCCTACAAATTCACCCAAATCCCAATTAAGACAATTAAACTTTAAAATGAATATATAATCAAAGGGATAGGTTGGTGGTTTTGGAGATAAAACTTAATTACTGAAAAGATATATAACATATATACCTCTATAATAGGCATTATTATATATGGGTTTTGCTCTTCTTCTCCTCTCCAAAGTCCACATTGTGGACTAGAGGTATAACCTGTTTATCAAAAACAAGGCTTTTCCCGCGTTCACTACCTCACATACTRTGGTGCCACAGTCCCCGCATATATATTGTAGTTGAGTTTCTGTCAAGCATGGTTGAACTTAGAGCCGAAACCGACCCAACCCGACTCAAACCGATCAGGTCGGTTTTGCTTAACATTGGTTCAGTTTCGGTTTCAAGTTCAGGTAACCCAACCAGGTCGGGTCGGTTGAAAAAACCTCAATAAGCCGACCCAACCCGACCCGTAAATAACCCTACTTATTTGTTGGAAAAATAATCAAACAGATGAAGTGCATATTATTTGAAGAGAATAAAACAATTTATAAGGGATCCAGATTTCATCCTACAACTATAATTGAGAACATTTTCCATGAATCAAAACATATAAATATGATGGTCCCCGCAAAGGATACATGTAAAGACTGTTGTCCCTGACCTAGGGGTGGCCACGAGCCAAGCTTTTCATAAGTTATTTCAGCTCAGTTCAGTTTCAATCGAGTTTCGAGATGAGCTTGAGCCTAATAAAAACTCGGCTCGTGAGGCTCATGAGCCGAGTTCAAATAGAAAGATGTTATAAAATAATAAAATATAAAATTATAGAATTATAGAAAATAATATAAAAAATATAAAATTATAAAATACGTAGATACATAATAATAATAATAATAATAATAAAATATAAAATTATAGAAAATAATATATATCATAATTCTTAATTTTTTAAATATCAATAAAAAATATTTTATATATATATTTTTTATTTTTATAAAACATTTTTCTCAAATTAAGCTTGTACTGAACCGAACTCGAACTTACAAGCTTTTGACTCAAACCAAACTCAAACTTACTTACATTTCTGTAATTGCAGTCACTCATTGTTTTACCTCCACTGTTTCGACGGTTGACCTTTTGGTTAGGAGTGTGGACAGTGATGAAACAACCATTGGTTGACCGCAAGCCTTTTATCACGCTGTGCCCAAATTTGGCATGCAAAGAGATCAGACTTAAAATTAAATCCTTGGTTTCTGATTTCCACCCTATTATAGAATTAGACTTAAATGATAGAACCTAGAAACTTATTAATCTATTTCCAAGCAAAGTTCAAAGTATTGATACATATCAGTACATATGTATACTTGTTTGGATCTGCTACCCCAAGTGAAGGCTACTTGCATCTACCCTCAAGACACTATATCCGTACAGTGGAAATATTTTCCATATTTGTATGTTATAATTGGTAGGGGAAATGTTCCAAATGTGTGGTTATAATTTCCTGTGGATAGGTGTGGTTAGTGTTTTTGTAGGTTAAAGATCTGGTTGTATGTATTGATTACTAGGGTGATCACTATGAAGGTGTTTGGTACCATTGACAATTTCTGCGATGATATTTCTCAGAAATCAGAGAAATTATTTATTTAGTATCATTGCTGCCATGTAAGCTCATTTTTGAGAAATTGGTAATGAATTTGTTTGATAGCGATTATCAGTAGTGATTTTTTTTATAGGAACTATCTCCCTTATTCAGGTCGGATGCTAATGTCATCTAAAAAGAAAAAAAAAAAAAAACAGATCAGCCTTCCAATAAAAAATGAAGATTATTCCTCTTTTAGGCCCGATTTTCATAATCAATTTCTAAGCAATTTGTTGATTTCTTTTTAGATTCATTAGCCAATTTTAAACCATTGATGTGTCTTTGATGTAATGCCTATTTCTTGAAAAAATTGGCAATGGTACCAAACATCACCTATGTTCTAAACAGGAATCGGRTGATTTCAGTTGTTTTAAAAGTTAAAAAGAAGCAAGAATTTCAGTAGTTTCTTTTTCTGTTTTTTCTTACTGATATTTTAATAAAACTTGGTGACTAATACGTGAAATGTAGATGTTCAAAGCTTAATGAGCAGGGAGTATAGCCCCTTCAAATCAGTCAATATCTGAGAATCAACACAAGAAGAGTATGGGCAGTTTGAACCTTATCTTGTAATATTATGTTAATTGTGGAATCCTTGGAAGAAAAGAATCTACAATTTATAATATCTCCAACTTTTGTTCTTGATTACTTGGTCTGAAGTTGTATTTTCTCATTWTCTCATGCAAGTTACTAATATTCCATCTTGACTGCATGAGTTAGTTATTTTACCTCAATATATATTCACCTATACCATACGTCCCGTAATTGTCATGCTTTCAGCCCATAGGTGTTGTCAACGTCTTGTTTGTCATGAACCACCCCTCTCCTTTTGTCACTTCGATTTCACATTTGAAGTAGGTATGCACGGTTTCTCTTTGTCCTCTCATGACCCATCACTAATTTTTGCTTCCAAAAATCATTAATGTTCTACAACATCACCATAATGTATCTAAAAGCTCCATCCCAGAGAATCAACCGCTCTTTTGGTCATCGGAGATGGTTTAGCCTACAATTCATGTTTGTAATTTGAATCTGAACAATGAAAAGAGGAGGTTGAACAGCAAGTTAAGGACTAAGAAAAGGCTAGTTATAACCGACGAGAATTAACTTGACTCCCAACAAATGTCTTCTAAATCTTTATTCTACATGGGTCATCACTATCAGTTAAGCCTTATCCCCATTATATGGGGTCAGTTATATAAATCTTGTTTTGTCATTTCGTTCTGTTTTTGTCATATGCATTTTTAAATTATAAGTGCTTAAATCATTTTTTACTATTTTATCCCATGTATTTTCTAGTCTGCCTTTAGTTGTTCTAAACCCTTCAAGGCTTCAACTTGTAGAAAATTTCTTCCTCTTATGGCCATGGGTGCCACAGTGGTTTTCTATGCATGTGACCAAACCATCATAATCTACTTTCACTTTTTTACCATCTATTTTCTGGTGACTTCATTTTTAATCTCACCCTTTATCGTTCTTCCACTCATCCATTTCAGTATATACATTTCTGCCACACTATTCCATACAAAAAAATTGTGTGTTGGATAGTTGCTTGATCTCCAAACCTAAGTGTACATTGATTTGCATTCCTATAATCCTATTATTATTAAATTTACATAGTATATATTTTGTTCTAGTTCTACTTAAAACCTCTTATTTCTAATGTATTTGTCCACAAATTTAATTTTTCATTTAATTGTTTATAAGATCCCTTAATGATGATTAGGCATTAAACCTCAATGAAAAACCATCATAGCCGTAAAATTTGATGCCTCTCCCATAGGCATTCCAAYATTAGTTGTTACACCATCACACATATCCTTGATCAGGTCTTTATACCCTTTTCATTCCACGTTTGATAAAGTAAAACATGTTAGTGAGCTACACCAATGTTTTCGAACCACCATTGACCCAGATGGTTGGACTGTTAGGCCTAGGAACCATTTCGACAAATAGTTCTATTTCACCCCAAACCTGACCCTTGGCCAAAAATCATTGAATTGGTCAACGTCCATTGACCTGAGCGGTCAAATCATCAACCCGTTCAATGGTTTTTGGTTGTTTTTTATTTTAATTATTATTTTTTTAATTTTTTAAAATTTCCATCAGAACTGGGTGATTGAACCATCATCAGTTCAAACCGAACAGTCAAATCATCAACCCGGAAACCRATGGCCAGAACAGTTCCGGTTCTGAGTCGGTTTTTAAAACATTGAGCTACACAACCACAAGAAAAAAAAACGTTTGGGATCCTTGATTTTCATTTCTTAATTATTCAAATGGTAGTTAACGTAAACAAGAAAAATGCATTTATTAATATAATTACCAAGGGAGAGAGAAAAAACTCGGCAGATCTTGAAGACTCAATGCATCATTCAGTTTTTTACCCAGACAAATACATTCTCCTAAAACTCCTTAATCTTTCCTACAAAGTATCCCACTGATTCTTCCAGAAACCCATCTCATCTTCCAAAGACAATGATTTTCATTCTTAGACGAACCAAATGAATGTTTTCAAGTGAAAACTAGGGTTTTATGGTACATGAAGTCGAAACAGACCACAGTTCCTCTCTTACTTTTTCGAAGAGTACTGGAAAATTAGAAAATTGAAAATCAAGATACAAGGATAAAACTATATAATTTATCAATAGCATAGAAAAAGAATAAAATTAGCTCTGAGCAACCACAGCCATGAAACTCAGTACATGTCACTTAAATAACACAGTTATCATTGGGAAATCTCATTCTTTTCCTCTTCCTGAGATTTAACTGTTTCTTTAAACTGCAGCTTGGATTCAGAACTTTCTGTTCTACAGGTGTACCTTGATCTATAATATCATCTGTTCTACAAGTGTACTTTGATCTATAATATCATCTGTTCTACCAGTATCTTCGTGCTTGTCATTACTCATCACTGTTTCTATTTTCTCTTCAGATTCCTTTTCGGCATTGATTTGGGTTTGTAGTTGACTTCGAGGAATAGGCATAGGTGTAGTACCATCCAACCCTTTACGAAGAGAAACATACTTGAAGACAAGTTGCTTGTAACTATTTAGCAGGTCTTCTACATCATTGATTGTCAGATCACCTACTTGTGCGTACAAGTACCGGTATTCTTGGAATAATCTGCTTAGATGATCCTCCTTCAAAAGCTCAGTAGCTCCTTCCTTCTCCAAATCAGGGATGGATGGCCTCTTGGTCATTGAAGACTGATCCTTTGCATGCAGATCCTCCTTGTTGGCAGACTTGATTTCAGAGGATTGATGTGGAAGATGACGTTGTATTGCAGGGGGAGCATTATATCTTTCTTTCTTAGAATCCAATGGCTGTAATTTAGGATCCACAGGTTCTTTTCTCTGGACATGCTCAAGATCCTGATTACTCTGATCAGGCACACCTAAATCAGTTGACAGGCCTGACAAAAGTGTCTGGGCAAATTTCATGTTCTCTTCAAACTCAGTTTCATCCATTGAAAGGGACTTTGCATCAATGTTGTAGATGAAAGACTCTGCAGAAAGCATGTTGGTGAAGAAATATGCTGCTTCTGAGACTAATCTAGACTGACGCCTATAGCGTTGTATATATAGCAAGTTTGAATGCAACTGTGGAGGATTTGCCTGCATCATATTATCATCGCAAGGTAATCTGACAAAACTTAGATAGGAATGAGAAAAAATTAGATGGAAGCATCAAAATATAGAAATAAGCCATGACTGGAACTGAAGTATTCTTTTAGCAGCCTCAAGATGTGGACAATGAGGAATATTTTTTGCTAGTCTTAAACCCCTAGTCTCTCCTTCATGAGCATGCAAGTTATGCTTTGGTGTTAGGTATTTTTGCTAGTCTTAAGCCCAATATTCCTTGTTGGGAATGAGGTTTCCATGTGCCTAATTAAACTAGTTCTATGTACATTTATTCTTAAATGAATTAGACTTTTTCCCTTTATGACACAATTAATATGTCATCATACTCGGGCAATTTGATAACAGCTGAAGATGCTGAACTAAAAAACTAATTGTTTTGTCATAGTGAATAAGTTTTAAGGAGGTTATGGGCTCCTTAATGGCTGAAGCTGAAATTGGATAGATAACTGTGTTAGTGTATGCCCTTAGCTCCAAYCAGAATGATGTACATTATGACATTTAATGTAAATGAATAAAGTACATATTTGATTCATGTTATTGTGGTGTGTTTCTGTGTAATACCCTTAAACTGGACACATA